AGAGAGAGAGAGAGAGAGAGAGAGAGAGAGAGAGAGAGAGAAAGATCGGAGAGATGGATAGAAAGTAGAAGGGAGCAAGAGAGTGAAAGATCATGGGCAGCTCTGGAACAGACAGAGATTAAGGAAGGGGTAAAGAGAACACATGGAAATCTTGGTTCTGTCTACTGTTCCCTTGAGCACGTCCCCCTGTGTAATGGCAAAACTGGAGAACTCTAGATGGATTTTGGTTTCCATATACTTCTCATGCTGTGATAGTCTTGTCTATATAGACGTGAGTTGAACAAAGATTTTTTATAAGACATTGCTCTTACATGCAGATCTTTTTTTTCCTCATCTGGCACTCAACTGAAAATCAATGGTCTGAAGAGAAAGCAGGCCATATTGAAATTAGCAAATGTACTGAATATGCCCCTTCCTCAGATTTGGCAAAGGAGAATTTGAATATGTATAATTTTATTTTTTGAGCTAATTCTACTGTATAGCCTCATCCCTTTCAGGGGAAAACACAGCAGATTTTAAAGTCTTCTCTTGACAAGGAGAAGTACTTTACTGCATCCATGAAGTACTTTACTCTCAGAGAGTTCAGGAGTCAAACAGCCAAGTTTATAGCTATAGAGGTTGAATCAACATTTCCATGAAGTTTCCCTGTATGCAAATGGTTTCATAAGCATCTTACTATTGAATCTTCATAGCCACTTGGCTAAATGGCCCTTAATGTAAATTTTACTGGAAAAAGTGGAGCTCAGTAGGCTTAAGAACATCATCCAGACTTTTATATAGAACCTTGATTTTCTTATCTTCTAGAGAGAAAATAGCAACCATGGATTGAAAAACAGTACTTTGCGTTATAATTTATAAGAATAACTTGCTTATAAGCCAAAGAGTAGTGCAAAGTCTAGAATTATGGTGGGATGTGATGAAGAAACTATTCATCTACATTGTGGGAATGTAACCTACTTGTATAGCTACTATACAGATCAGTGTGGAGAGTCCTTGAAAAACAAAGAGTAGAAATTCCATTCGATCCAATATTACTGTTCTAGATATCTTCTTAAAAGAGTTAAAGACATTGTATTTTATAGTGCTTTGTGTATTCCCATGGTTGTAGTAGTACAATTCATTTTAGCCAAGTCTATTTGTCCTTCAACAGATAAATGGACAATAAAATGAATTTATATACAATGGAATACTACTCTGCATGTAAGAAGAATAAACTTGGGTCACATGTGGGAAAATGGTTGCACCCTGAGACCCTAATGTTCAATGAAACAAATCGGACACACTAGCTTATCTCATGGCTTCTCTTATAGGAGAAACCCAAAATATAATCAATGAGTGAAATAAAAGTTAGGTAATAGAGGGTGGATGTTTTTCAAATGAGGAGATCAAGAGATGGAGGGAATAGGGAAGAGAGGAGGGAAAGGGGAATAAAACCTCAAGATGCCTAGGAGCATAGACCAATTCCTCTCAGGAGTGAAATCAATATGTAATTAAAGTATGTATTAATAAGTAAAAGCTTGAAGGAAAAAAAAGAAAAGAAAGCAAGTGAGTGAAAGCCAAAAATAATGAATAAAGTATGCAGTGTTTTATGTTGGTATTATTATGCAATTTACCCCTCTCTCACCCCAAAGGTATTCTATTTCTAGGCCCTGTGGAAAAATTACACAATTGCTATGCTTTCTTGTGATCCACTCTTGACCTTTCTTTGTTAAAAATTGTCATCAGAATCACTTCTGGCTGAGGAGGTAGCTTGGCAGCATAAGTGCCTGCCTGGCAATCCTGAAGTCCCAAGTTTAGTCCCCAGTGCCACATGTGGTTCTTGCCCTGGAACTCTTGAGTGCACTGGGCTGGCTGGAAACTGGGCATTGTGACATATGCCTGTAGTACCAATGCTGGAGAGGCTGAGACAGAGGATCTCTACAAGTCTGAACTGCATAGTGAGATCCTATTTCAAAGGAATAAAAATAGAATAAATAAAAAGAATCACTTCTATTTTAATCAATGATGATGTTCCATCAAGCAACTCAGGTTGTAGGAAGAGCCAGAATGAACTTCAGTTCAAAAGTTGTCTTAGGCTATTATAAAAGAATTACGAGGCTGTGGAGATAACTCAGTGGCATAATCACCTGCCTGGCTAGAGCAAGGTCCAGAGTTTGTTCCCTGGTATGGAGAATTGTGGTGTTTTCCTCAGCTTGCCAAAATGCGAATGCTATATATCTGACCCATATTTTTTGGTGTCACTACTAACATTTCTTTAAAAAGAGACTTCAAGAATAATGTTAGGATAGTTTCATTCTGACTGCCTCTACTAAGAACTTTTGAGTAATAGTGACTCCTGCCAAGGTATCTTTTCCTTGTATCCTCATTTTAGTAAGGATTCATGGTTCCAAATATAAAGGCTTTAAAGTGGATCCTTTTTATTCTGACATCATCAGAAAGGTAGCTGCAAATGAAAGTATTCTTCTATTCTACAGTTGGGTTAGTTTTGCTGAGTTTTGGGGCTAAGACTCAGTCTTACCCTTCATCAAAGCTTTGTCAGTCCAAACCAGTATACACCTCTGGAACAACAAAGGGTACCCTAGCTTTGTATCATTGTAACAACTGAGCTTGTTGCTTTTACTTTATTTCAGAGATCCCAGAAGACCCACTTGTGGCTGAAGAGTATTATGCTGATGTGTTTGATTCCTGTTCTGAAGAGAGGAGCAGGAAGGAGAATCAGTGTCCTTGTGACCAGAGGGAGAAGTCCAGGATGAGGGATGCCAGCCTTCTTACAGAACCAATCAACAGGTGCCTGTTGCTCCCAGCCTAGAGCTTCGAAGGTCATGTGCAGGGACAGTGGGATTTTCCACCTGAATTTTTGCCTTTTAATCAGATTTTTAAGTCTTAATTATCATTGTAATGCAAAGACAAATTTTTAAAGACTGACTTCATTCTGGGAATGAGACCCAGAGATATACTGACCTTAAGGGATGCTCTTTCTAACTATTTTAAGCCTCTGAGGACCCATCCTTACATGTAGTGCCGAAGCCTCTCAATTTACCTCCTGGTAATGAGAAGTCTCTTTATTTATAGCAACACTGAGTCCAGTGTGAGTGATAGGCTAAGAAGCAGCTCAGGTGTGTGCTTTTCCTGCAGGAGAGGTAGGTGAGAAGTTATGTTTGGAGAAAGCAGATGACTGTGGGAAAGTTATATATGTGGATCTCATTTTCTTCTTGGGCTATACACCTGGTAACCCTTCTAATCATATATTTCCATGAAATATCAGAATTTTTCATTGACTAGAAACTACTCAACTACTGAAATAAAAGTCAATCCAGGCAAACCTGAGTAAATGCAAACTTAATTTAAAGAGATGATTTTTAGAGTGAAGATTTTACACAATCCACACAACTATTTTTAGTGACAGCTAAGAAACTCATATTATTCAATAAAACCAATCAGAAATGTTCTCCAAATTCTATATCAGAGAAGGGGAGAGAGACAGGGAGAAGGAAACAAGGAGAGGGTCAAGCAGAAAAAAGAACAAGAGAAAGAGGAAGAGGCAAAGGATGAGAGAATGTAAGAAATGCCCACACATGAGAGGAACAAATTAATCATCCCACCCCCAAAAAAGAATAAAAAGGAGGTGAGATTCAGAATGCCAAAATAAGAAGTTTCATTATACCATTTTCCTTTTTTTTTTTTTTTGGCAATGGACTCTGGGGGAAAAATAATCCCAGCAACTCCTACCAAAAATTGACAGTATAATTTCTACATGCTTCTGCACCAGTTAATCTTAATTGCCCACTTGACTGGCTTAAGAGGCTCTTGGAGAGGTACCTGGGCCACAGAGGAGCATACTGCCCAGTGGCTTAATCTACTGGTGCTCACTGAGTGTGCCATGGGAGGTGGGCCTACGTGGAGGAGATGGGTCTTGGGGAATGTGTCCTGGAGAGGGTGGATTTCCCACTATGCTCTGCTTCTTGGCTGGCCCAGATGAGCAACTTTGCTCCACCAGGCTCCTCTGCCATGATGCTCCTGTTGTGGAGCCAGCCTACCACACACAGAAACCCCTGAAACCATGGGCCATAATAAACTTGACCTCTAAGTTACACATGTTGGGTGTTTTGTCTCAGCAATGGAAAGCTGACCAATACAGTCACTGTTATAAACAACTGAAACAGTTATTTTTATAAAAATAATATTGTAGAAATTTCATGCTGTGCCTGTTGTTCTAAGGATACAGGATATGCAAAATACTTATTAAGGTTTTGCTCACAGCAGTAAAATTTGATTTTCTCACATTATAACTTAAGACCTTTTTTTTTTTAGAAAAAATAAAATGCAGCTAACTTAGCCATGAGTAGAATGTATTCCATATACCATTTAGGTCAAGAAATGGAACTTGGCAAGCCCTAGGAGTCCAAATATTGGCATAATTGTTAGAACACAAGGTTAGCAATCAGATGGTCATTCTCTAAGTCTAGGCTTTGTCATTTGCAAGTTGTACAACCCTGTACAAATTACTAAATTTCACTGTGCCTCAATTTTCTAACTTGTACAATGGGAGAATAGTGGTCCCTAACTCATGAAGTGATTTCAAAATTAAGGAATTATTGTAAGTACTTTGAATAGTGCCAGAAATTATTTTGTACTTAATAAACATGTAATAATAACTTAGATATTACTATTACAAAGTTTCACAGCTATATTGTGTGCTTGCATGAAACTTCCAAAAATCTTCAATGTTAAAATGAGATTGTGCAACTTCAGCAAAATCCCTTCTTATGTTGTAACACAGATGACAAATGTAAGGGGGAGTGATTTTGTTTTCTGAGCTATGAGTCTGTCACATGTTATACGACAAATTTGATTGATTTTAAATTATCTATGGAGGTGAGATAATAAGACTTTATACATCCATGGTGGCATTTTGTTTCACAGAATTCTGTTGGGTGGTTATTTTTCCTATTTTCATGTTGAAGACATTAAGTTTCTTAGTTACTTCTCTTGTTGCCTAGACAAAACCACCTGACACCTGTGAGTTAAAGGAGGAAAAGCCTATTTTGGCTCATTGTTTGTGGAGGTTGTGCTTGGCTGCCTCAAAGGCAGGGTGGCATAGCAGAGTGGCACAGGAGAAAAAAATCCATGGCAGAGCAGGCAGGCAGTACAAAGCAAAGTAAAGCAGCAGCAGCAGCAGCAGCAGCAGCAGAAAGCTACCTTTCCCCTTTTATCCCATCCAGGCTACAAGTCTTTTGGGTAGTACCACCCATACTCTGCATGGGCCTTCCTATCCACACTCATAATTTTGCAAATCCAGTTTATTTATCACACATCCTTAATCCATGTTCACACACCCTAGGCCACCTGCATAAAGCCCCACCATGAGGCTTTGAGGGAATATTTAGACACAAGCCACAACAGTCTCTGGAAGAGAAGTAACTTGCCTGAGGTCACACAGGTATGGAAAGGTGGGAATCATGCTTAGGCCCAAAACAGTCACATTCCTGAGCAAGTGTTCCCTCTATTATAGAAGGTATATTGACCTAGCAGGAAAGTGTTATAATAGGTGATTAAAAGCCCATTTGTTGTTGCTGTTAGTACTAATTTAATATAGTTTCTCCCTCCCCCAAGGGAGTCAGTGTAGGGTTGTGACTGATTCTTCCTTCTGGAATTCTTTTCTTAGCCACTGTTGTAGCTGTGGGTTTACAAGAGGAAACAATACAGGACACATGGTCTACTAGATTATTTTATGATTGTCACCCAGAGTCATATACAAAGAAGGTTAGGGAAATCTGTCCACATACTAAAGACCAAGAATCTAGCTGCGGTTCTGGATCCCGTGGAAGTGTCCTGCATGTGTCCAGTTAAGATACAGAGCCCATAACAGTGTCCCTTGAAGTCCAATTGAAGTCCAAGAGCCCACGTGAATGTCTCATGCAGGCCTGTTTCCTAGATCTGAGTTGGGAGGGCCTAAAGGTCAGTGGTGGAAGCTAGAAAGTCTGTGCCAGTGGGGCGAGGGATCTGAACTAGAGCCAGGAAGTGACATTCAAAGTAAAGACCAAAGCCCCTCTGAAAAGTATCCTAGCCATCCTCAGTAATAGACAGGTCCTGAGTTCTACAATGATGAGGACAGCTGAGTTCCCATCAAGAAAGCCAACATGACAAGCTTCTCTAGGAGATTGAACAGTAGACCATCTTCCCCTCTGGAACCAGGAAGTGATGTTCAAATAAAGGGCAGAGCTCCCCTAATGTGAATGGTAGCCATTCTCAGCAACAAGGTCCAGAGCTCATCTGATGATGAGAGCAGGAGCCCATCAGAAAACTCAGCCTAATAAGCTCTTTCAGGAAAACCAGCAGCTCCCTACAGCTTCCCATTATCCTCTCTTCTCTAGTTCTGCCTCTTATGCTGCTGACAGTTCTCGGTGGGCCTCCCACGTCCAGCACCATGCTGGTTCAATTCAGCTCAGTGTAACAAGTTGACCACAAGTTGTCAATCCACCACAGCAACATACTACTCTTGCAGATTCAGTGCTGAGACCCCGGACACCACTGGCCTTGCGGACTGCAGCCATCTCTAGGACTGCCCTTTTCCTTCTCCCCCAGTCTTGCTCTTGACATTGAGCATCCTAGGTAATTCCTAGGAGCTCATGAAACCCATGGCTTTTTTAGGATGAGGGACTGAACTCAGAACCTTGTGCTTTTATGTGAACAGTCAGATCAAAGTTGATTCCTTTCAGATGGGAATCACATTGTGATGGAGAGAATATTTTCAGAATGAAAAACTGACTTAGCTTTATTGTAATTAATTATTGAGTCTTTTTGGCAACTGTGACAACCTTTTCAGCAGTGGTATCTGCAAAGCACAGTGTTATTAAGTTCTAATTGCTGTTGATTGCCAGTCATTTCTCAGCTGTGATAAGTAAAACATCAGTGACACCTTTATTACAAGCTCTGATGGTATTGTTGATACTTTCTCTGTGAAGTTTCTGCTCACCAAATTGGCACCAGCCTCTCTGGTACCAGGAGCATGGAGGTGATACCTGTCATCACAGCAGGGCTCTCCACAGCATGGCCTGTCACTGAGAAGTGCTGCATGTGCTCAAAAGGATGGTTTTTAGGGCTTCAAGCTGGGTGTTTCATTAATTCTGCTGTCTTTCCCTTACTGCCTTGACCATCATTTTCCTCTCCAAAACTAATAAATGTCCCAAGTACATCTATAATACTCATACAAGGTTGACAATAATGACATGACCAGAACTCCCTGGGGAAAGACTCTGTTTAACAAATGTGGCTTTCCTGAAGCTTGTGTTAAGAAGGCTCTTCAGAATTCTGGGGTTTGTTTTGCTAAGGGTTACCAAACCCACTTTTTTTTTTTCTTAGTTAATTTAGAAATTCTCCAATCTTTTGGTGATTTGAAATTCAGTGCAGTGAAACACTAGGAAAAGCAGTGATGCTCTTCTGCTAGGAACATTGTCACAGGACAGAGAGCTGGATGCAGGGTCATGAAGCCTGAATTTTTCCTGAGGACCATCATGAGGGGAGATGCCTCACAATCTTGCTGTTATTGGAGGC